GTATTTGTATTAATTTGTTAGTGTATGTGTATGCATGTGCTGCCCTTGAAATGTGTAGAGGCCAGAAGACAACTTATTAAAAGTATTTTATTTTTTTATTTTGTGTATATGACTATATTGCCTGCATATATATCCATATCTATATCTATATCTATATCTATCTATATATATATATATATGCACCTATGTTGGGCAATGCTGGAGAGGGTCAGAGGAGAGCATCAGATCCCCAGGAACTGGAGTTAAGGACACTTGTTAGCTGCCATGTGGGTGTTGGGAACTGAACCCAGGGCCTCTGCAAGAGCAGCCAGTGCCCTTAACCACTGAGCCATCTCTCCAGCACCCAGAGGACAACTTTTGAGAGTTGGTTCTCTCTTTCCACCATGTGGATCCTAGGGATTAAACTCAGGCAGCCGCTGTCTTTACCCACTGAGACATCTCTCCTGTCCTCCAATGTGGGGAAATTTTTAAAAATTATATTGCATATTGTTTCAAGAAGCAATTCCAATATTGTTTAGGAGGTACAAATGCACACCCAGAAATCATGTGCTCTGGTTTCACAATAGTTAGTTAGCTCTGGAGAGGGCTGAGTGGGGGGGGGGGGGCGCTAAGAAGGAATGGGAGCCCAGGCTCGATTCTTTGAATCCAAAATAGAGATCGAGGACTAAAATACCTGTTAAAATCCATTAAACCTGGGTATGTGGGTCCCTGCCAGTGCTGCGCTTAGCATACCTTGCTAATTGTAAAATCTTTATCATTTGAAATTTGAAAAATAATGGTAGTTATACAATGAAACACTGTGTAGCCATTAAAAATATATAGAGACATTCTATTTAGGTTATCAGAGAAATCTGCATATGGAACATTTTAGATGAAAAGAATGAGTTGTTGTTTAGCAGACACTATGATCTCTTTGAACTTTGAATCACACATACAATCCTCTTAGAATTTGTATCACTAGTCCTAACCATCTCATGGGCTCCACAATCTTGTGTTCAGGGACCAAACTCTCCATATGTATATCATTCAAGCAATCCAAATCCTCCTAGATCCCTATATAGGTTACCTTCCTAAAGGAGTAAAGACTTCATTGGGGCTCACAGTTTGAGGGGATACAGACGGTCATGGTAGGGAAGGTGTGCTGGGGAGAGTGAGGCAGCTGGTCATGTTGCATCTACATAGAGAGATGAATGCTGCTGTTTATCTGCATCCTCTTTCCTTCCTTTTCTACTCAGTCCGGCACCACAGCCCATGGGATGGTGCTGTCCACATTCAGGAATGCGGCTTCTCTCCTCACTTTTATCTCTGGAAGTGCCTCACAGACACGCCCAAAACCGTGTCTCCTAGGTGACCCTAAATCCAGTCAAGTTGATGATGAAGATTAACCATCACTGTCCCAAACCAACCTCTTTGTCTTTCCAGAGGGTCTCACCCTCCACTCTTTCCCAGCACAGCTTGACGCCACCCTCCACAAGTTGGTCCAGTAAAAGTCCCAGGAGCCAAGGGTGGTTTCTCCCTTTCCCTCAAACTCTGCTGATCCTTCCTACCCAACCTCTAATCCTTCCTACCTGCCCACCTACCATGTTCCTCACCCCATTCACCACCCTTTCTGGGAAGTCTGCAACAGTTTACAGCCCTCACCTCTGCCATCTGTGGGTACTTCCTACAGTTCACCCTCTACACGGTGGCCAGAGTGGTCCCATGAGACAGAAATCATTCCTATGGAAAACTCTCGATATTCACATTGTTCTCAACCTTTGATTGCAGCATTGGCTCTCCACCCTTTCCCTGCCTCATCTGGGGACCATCTCCCATCCTCTGTGTTCCTAGCACTCGCCAGAGCACGTCGAACTCCCTGCTGTCAGAGCCACTGTATTGTATATGTAGTCTGTCTGTCTGTCTGTCTGTCTGTCTCTCTCTCTCTCTCTCTCTCTCTCTCCCTCTCCCCCTCCCTCCCTCCTTCCTTCCCTCCCTCTCCTGACAGAGTCTTCTGCATCCCAGGCTGATATTGCTGTGATAAATACCTTGACCAAAAACAAAGAGTAAAGAATATAGTTCAGCTTTACAAGGCACAGTCCATCATCAAAGGAAGCCAGGGCAGGAACTCAGTCCAGAACCTGGAGGCAGGAACTGAAGCAGAGACAACAGAGGAAGACTACTTACAGGTTTGCTTGGCTACCCTTCTTATACAGCCCAGCTCACAATAGGCTGGGCCCTCCTACATTAATTAGCAATCAAGAAAATGCTCCACAGACATAGCCACAGGCCAATCTCAGATGAGATTCCCTCTTCCTAGATATTTCTAGGTTTATGTCGTTGGGAG